CGTTTGATTCTTGGCACGTTGAAAGCTATGCCAATTTGTGGCGATCTTTTCACTGTCCACATCATTGTAGGGTTTCAAAATTTCTTCAGTTTTGCGAATTGTCTTGACTGTTTCGAAGAAAGAGGAGGGTGGCGATATTACAGTGCTCCGTCACCCACCTAGTGCAACGGTCGAGCCCCTTTGGGCACTACACCGACTAGTTTTTTCTGCGGCGTGCAACGGGACGCAGGGGTTTCGTAATAACGAGCACAGCCTCCGCATTGCTGTTACCTTCAATGTTCCCGAATTCTTTTTGTGATTGGTCGATAAGTTCTAAATGTAGGCTTTCGGTAAAGTTCCCTGGGCACGTTCATTGGAGATATTTGTGTTAATAAGGTGACAAAAATCACTTTTTGCTCGCTGACAAAAATCACCTTTTGCTTGCAAGCTCCTTATCATCATTTGCTGAACCCAATAATGACAGCATCAGATACTGACTGTCAATCTGTTTTGTGTTGTTTTGTCGAACGGGGCTCAAAGATGGAATTTAAATTGTAGTGTGAAGTTATGCCTTGTTTTTCGACCTCGCCATTTTTGGAGGCACAAACATCATCTGAAGCTTTTATTCACGAGTCATTCGCCTGTATCCTTTTCTAAGTCATCTCGAGATCACTCCGAAAGACATTCATAATGGACACTTTGCTCTTTGACTCTTTTAGCTGTTCTTTATAGGTTTTCGCACGAAAAATCGAAATGATCGAAAAGCTTCCTAGGTTGATTGGCAATTGTGAAACGTTTAACATCGAAGTCGTTTCTGTTGTGCAACTTAGATCTATGCTTTTTCGAGAGGGATAGTCGGTTACGAAAAAAGAGGATGGCAAAAACATTGTGGGAAAAGAAATGAGTACCAGCGTAGGACGAATGCGCTAGTAAAGCATTAGGCCAGTGTCAGATTTTGCGAATCGCTCGATTCGCGAAGTCTGACACCGGCCAAATTCAGTTTGTTGCAAATTGCGCCAGTGAGTGGTGTAGTCAGATGTTGAGTACCCCAGGTCCTCTTTCTCATCTTTTTTGGTCGTTTGGTGACTGTGCAGCTGTATACTTGGGGCAGCGCCCAACTGAATACGGGGATATACTGCGAAAAAAGATATGTAACTTTTGGTTTTGGGCTTTCCGGTGGGCGAAATCGAATTAGTTCATGATCTGATCTTTCTTCCAGATTATCTTATTCTTTTGAAGCGCCAAGTGTGAGTGTGACTTGCTATCGGTGAACTGCTGTTTGATTGAATGCGAAGACAGTAGTTTCTTTTAACATTAAGAAGGAGAGAGTCACAGAAGGGCGTATCTCTTGAGAGTAACTCACTGTTTTAGTAATCGGTGTCACCGATCAAACCTAGAGTTGATGGGCAACACCAACTTTTCTTAATTAATCATCTGTTGTAGTCATCCCTGGTTTTCTCTCCGATGATGTTGTTTGTAATTATCTCGAAGTCTTTTCAACCGTCTTTGTTTCGATATTTTATCTTGTGTATTTATTTTCTACCACCCTCATGATTTACTTTCGGCGTAGTGAATCTTCAGCGCTCATTTCTGTTGTCGGCTTCGACATCGGTAATTTGAACTGTTACATCGGCATCGCTCGTCAGGGTGGTATTGAAGTAATCACTAATGATTACTCGTTACATGCAACCCCGTAAGTTTGCCTTGTTTCTTATTTCTTTCCTTTTGCCTTACTTCTTGTTCTTCTGGACAGTTTACACGTTTTCAGGGCTTGCGTTGCTTTTACGCCTAAAAACAGGAGTATGGGTGTAGCCGCTCGACAGTCAGTGAACACGAACTTCAAGAACACGATCATAAATTTCAAACATATGATTGGACGAAAGTTCAGTGATGCCATAACACAGAAATTTATACCTTTCGTTCCATGCCAAACTGTACAACTGGCGAATGATGACATTGGTTTCAAGGTGAGTGATTTCATAAAAAAGCGCACTGCTAGTTGTAATCAAGGGTAGGCCCAGGCATTCCTCGTGCTATTGGTTTCTAGCTTAAATTTTATTGGTAGCTAAAATTAGCTAGGACTCATAGTGTTGGGAGTAGTGATTCGGATTGTATTTGATCGTACTTTTATAGAGCTGGAGAATTGATTTTTGACTTATTTTAGTCCTAGCATGTTTTCATTGTTTCACTACTGACGAGTACCGCGGCGTGGATTACAATGTTATGGCGGTGACGGGCGAACAGTGCGTATACTTCCACTTTCATGTGAAACGAGCCGCATAAAAGTCGGGGAGTATACTTGGAAATTATGGCATTTTGAACAGCAATTCTAGAGTTCCCAACTTTGAGTTTGCGCGGGGGGGTCACTTGAGATACCCCGAGTCTTCGTCATCATACTAAATCTAGGGAGGCGGTCAGCGTTGCGTGGCGTACTTTTGCTTTCATTGCCAGTGTTGATTTTTCATGTGCGTAAACAATGGGTATGAGCAGCACAAATGGAAAATCCGAGAGGAGTACGCTGCCAATGTTTTGGAATGGTTGTCGCCCTTTCGGTGACTGTATAAACAACGTGTAATGCTCGGTGTTGTTAGCACTAGAATGTTGCCGTTTGAAGGTTGAATCATGCGCGATGAATCTTTCAAAATGTTCACTATATTTTCAAACCGTTTTTCTATGCTTCTGTTCTTATCTGCAAAATTCTAGGTTAGTTATCAAGGGCGAGAAGCTATTTTCACACCAGAACAAGTGCTGGCAGCTCTTCTTACCAAACTGAAGGACATAGTAGAAAGTCAACTCAAGGATGTGAAAAAAGTCACCGACTGCGTTGTGACGGTTCGTTTTCTTTGGATTGAAAAGTACAGCTATAGATTCTCATTGTTGTAGACAAGTGTAGTACAAGTCTTCTAAATCTTTAATTCATTCTTTAGGTACCATCTTATTTCACTGATGTACAGCGGCGAGCGACACAAGCTGCTATTCAATCTGCCAATTTGAATGCGTTGCGAGTAATGAATGAAAGCACAGCCATTGCACTTGCATATGGTAAGCTTTTGCAGAAATGATGTTTCCAATAGTTTAGTCTTTCAAGGGCAATGTACTCTTTCAGGTATTTATAAACAAGATTTGCCCGAGGAATCAGCTCGTGCACGCTATGTAGTCTTTTTGGATGTTGGTCACGCTTCTACACAAGCTAGTCTCGTGGCTTTCAATAAGGGCAAGCTCCAGGTGCGTTGCAATATATTAGACTTCGCACAATGAATCTTCAGTTTCGATTTCTGAATTATGCGAATGTTCCAACAGAAGTGGGTAATGTAAGACCGTGTGAATTTTTTGTCCTAGCAAAATGAACCGTAA